TCCAGGATGAACAGGGCATGAGCGTTTAGCAAGAACGTGGAATCGTTTTGTTGAAGTGTAGTTTTCGTCGTGGCAACGGCTTTGTGGGCGGCGTGATTTAGTGGCTAATCCTTCAGCGTGCGGCGTAGTCTCCGTACGAGAAGGAGGGAATAGTGAAAAATTCACCGCCCTCTCGGAGCTTGTGGTTGTCGTCCCCGTCCGCGGCCATCCGATCCCGCGCAGAGTGCCACGCCTACGAGGAATCCTCCGCTCGTACGCCGTTTGCCGTAGATACAGCTTTGACCTCTCTTCTGTCCCTCTTTGAGTCAAGTCCAGCGTGCGTTGTCTTCCAACCGAAAAAAATGTACATCGTTTTTTGTTTTGTTTCATGCTCAGAAATATCGTAAAGTTTCCCGATCGATGCACAATATTATCGATGTTGAACAACACCCCAGCACCGAACGAACGGTTTCGCTGCCAAACCGGATACATGCTTCAGCTCTGGCTGCTGTTTACAGTCCACACGCGCTGGCTAGACTGGTTTTGCGGCCCCACTCGTCAAATTCACAAGAATATTGTGGTTGTTTTCATGTTTGTGATGCTTTTTTTTTTTGGCAGGTGTACTTCGCCGGAGCAATCGCGGTGATGACGATGCTGCTCGGGGCGATGCTGCTCCACACCAGCGTGACAGATTTATGTGAGAGAGAGAGAGAGCAGCAAGTCATGCGTTAGGAGCAGAGCTTTTGTTTTTTTGTGTTGTTTTCTTCGGGGGCGATGCTGCTCCAAACGAGCTCCGAAAAATTGATGCCAGAGAGCAAGACATGCGAATGGTATGGAGCTTTTATCTTTTTGTTTGGCGCACCGTCCCAATGACTGCATGAATGGATGCTTTCACAAGCCCGTAGACCCCAGGAAGCAGCGAGAATTGTTTCAGCGGATTTACTTTTCCCGGAAGCATTTGAGGCCCGCGGCGGTGTAGCGCAGTACGTTTTCAGATACTGTGGGGACGATTCTCCGTCCTCTCGAGGACGCGTGGTCAATGGTCTAACAAAAAGGCAGGCCAGTGGTCTAACACGGCAGGTCAATGGTTGAACGACAAGGCTAGTGAAACATGAGTACGCCCCCCCCCCCCCTCAACCCCTCCCTGTCTTGTCTATAATTCGTGACCCCTTGTATAACTACCCAGGTGTAACGAAACACGACCACCTCCCACCCCCCCTTTTAATGAAGGATTGTTGTTCTTGAACAATAAGTGGATCCGGCAC